GATGTGGCAGCAATGCTGAGCCCAGCAATCTACCTTTCCTGTAGCGCCGCGCCGCAAACAACTTAGCTGCTAACAGAGCTATTCATCCCTCTCCCGCGTAACTTGGACAAAGAACGGCGATGGCACTAGCTAGACAGTCTAGCTACTGTATGCTGCTGTTTTTACAGCAGGCGGATAACAGTGCAGAGTAGCTCATCGGCAAGTTTCGCCCATGACTGCCACCGTGCTCTGAGCCTGTACTATACACATCCTATGCGGGTGACAGGAAAGCAAATCAAAAGCATCAAAAGCCTGCGAAACATGCACGTCAATGCCAACCACTGGCTGAATTGGCATCGGTTGCCCCACAAGCTTCTGGAGAAAGTTCTGCTTGGCGACTGGCCGCCATGCAGCTTGAAGCTTTAGCTTGCCTTGGTGCATTAGCAAAATTGGCATTGGGGGTTGTCTGTCACTGCACGAAGGCTTGCCCCCAAAATTGGCTTCGGTTCTTCTTTGTAAGGCAACCCCAAAAGAACCACGCCATGCCGTATTCTTCCGAAACCCTTGACCATAGACAAGTGGGGGACCCCGCTTTTTCGCCCCCCGATAATCGTTTGTTTGGGCCAAAATCGAGGCTCGAAGAAACCCAGACCAACAGCAACGTCGCAACCCTTCCAAAATCCTACCCCCCAAACAACTCCGAACCACTCCGGAGCCTCTCTGACCCAAGACAAGCCTTCAGCTGTTGGGGAAACAGGGTTACCCTAGACAAAACAAAGCATTTTGACCACAAGCCTTTGGCTCGATGGAAACTCAGGGCCAGCCCGCCAAGCAGCAACTTGCTCCACAAATCTCCAGCAGCTGTAGCCTGCGTGACTTTCTTTTCCCCAAGCAAAACCCTCAGCCTTTGTTTCAAATTGCACATAATACAATCCCGTCTTCCTCATAATGAAAGGTCTGCATAATAGTATTACATATTTTTCCAGACCGCAGAAACACATCCAAGTCCGAGAACACAAAAAAATAGAATAACAGGCTAGCTTTTCCCTCGTGACCCCAACTCGAACCGTATCAGGGTGCACCATTTGTGTACCTGAGTTTAAGTGTACTTCGTGCTACAACAACTCAAGCTGCTCCCTCCCGCGGAACCAAAAATAAAGGCCCTCTAATTATAAACATGTTGTTTTGTTCTCCGGAAAAAAAGAGGTTTGTTTAACTCCGGCGTCCCGTTTAGTATTCAGGGGAAGGGATTCTAGGTTGGTGCCTGCCAGTACTAAGGAATATATCATTGGGGAAACAATATGCCCTGGGGGGCAGCACGTTGTCATTTCCCTTGACGAAGGCCAATGATATACGAAACATGGAGCTGATGTCGATGAAAGCTACCCTCCCTTGTCCCAATGATATACCTGTGGGCAAGTCTTCTTTGGAGGCGCGGTTCCCCTTTGAGGCCGGTTGAAAGGAACTCCAAAGTCAAGCAACGCATTTGGGGGCCCTATCCGACTTGCAGACACACCCATATTACAAGATCTGGCGACCACTTGCAACCAAAAGACCTGGACAAAGGTTGCCCGGTTGGAGCGAAAAGGCTACCCGCCAAAAACACCGACTCAGTCTCACCCTCTTGGTCGCAGCGACAAAACCTGCGACTCACCCCGCCTTCCAGGGCCTTGGAGCTGCCAATGCCCCCCGTGCGGGTCCAAAGCTCGCACCGCCCGGGGCTGAACTCCACTCCTGGCCATTGGATCAAGTGGGATCAACAGTCTGGTCTCCTCCCCTTTGGCTGCCGTAACCACTCTGCCAGCGAAACCAGTCTCTGCCATGGTGAAAGCTTCTGGTGGTTCAAGGAACCTCTGCCTCGGTCATCTGAAACCACTACGAGGTTGATGACCAGTTCTACCAACCCTAGATACAGGGGTGGTTTGCCATTCGAATACACCAGAACGAGTACATTGGCTCATAATATTGGCCTTGCTTTCTTCCGCATTGTTCCTCTGCAAACGGCCAAGAAGGGTTCTGCAGGCATTTCACCCCCCCTTGAGGCCCAGATTGAGGGACTACCTAGCATAAAATTGAATTGGACATGGACCCTTTCATATCATAAAGCCATGGGAAGGTTAAGTCCACCGGCCGCAATCCGGCCCAAGCCAAGCCCACAAGCCCGTTGCGGATATATCGAGCAGCCAAATCCCAGTGAACAGAGCCCAGTTTCCATCACCAATACTGCTGCAACCACGCTATACAACAACGATGGCGGCAACGACGACGACCACCACCACCACCAACCACCACTACGACTACTACTCCTACTACTACTACTACTACTCCTACTACTCCTACTACTACTACTACTACTACTGCTACTGCTACTGCTACTGCTACTGCTACTACTACTACTACTACTACAACTCCTACTCCTACTACTACAACTACTACTACTACTACTACTGCTACTACTACTACTACTACTACTGCCACTACGACTGCTGCAAATCTGCCACTACTACCACTAGTACCACTACCACTACCACTACCACTACCACTACCACTAGCTGCTGCTACTACTACTACTACTGCTACTACTACTACGACTACTGCTGCTGCTACTACTACTACTACTCCTCGTGCTGCTGCTGCGGCTGCCGAACAAGGCTGTAAGTTGTTCTGTCCACTGTCGAAAATTCGAAGCGCTTCCACCAAGAAATATAATCGGTGACCAACTTTTCAATTCCCGACCAAAAGGACACTCGCCACCTGTAAGCAGTCCCCAATCTTCAGTCAAATGCTGATGTTGGGCAGGTTTGCCAAAGACTAGCACCTTCACCTTCCACCCTCACCGGCTCTCCCTTCAAGCCAGTTTTTGTCGCAGTGTGTTCCCGCTGTTTCCAACAGGGACACACCTACTCGATCAAGACCGGTTCGGCCTCTTCTGCGCGTATCCCATCCAACGTTCAATCTGGATGGAGCCCGTTGCCATGATGGAAGACTGAATTCATGGCTTGCATTTTCGCTCCTTTTGGAGAAAATCGACCCCCTCCAATTCCAAGCAGGGGGTTGAAAGGCACTCCCTGCCTGGACGTTGGTGGAATTCACTCTCTGTTACTGTGACAAGAAATTGGCTCCGCCTCTTCGCGATATTTCAAACCTCTGAGCACCACTCCATGTTATTGCCATCATCCACTATAGGCCGAGACCGGTCTCTAAAGGAACCAAAACCTCAACTCAGGGATCGCACATTCAAAGGACAAAAGCGTCAGGAGCTCGTTGTACCCCCAGAACAAAACAAAAAGGCAGCAACATGCTACGGCTCCTTTGCAGGTGTCGGAGGTTCGACAAAGATCCTGGCAGGACTGGAGGGACGGTAACCCGGCCACCGAGTAGTAGCTCTGCAGGTTGTCAGACGGGCCTCGGGGCAAAAATCATTCTGAAACCCTGAACTCCCCTCACCCGTTGAATGGTGGACCAAAAGGCAACTGAACGGGCACGTGAATTTGAGAAACCGTTCTAGCGAACATAGGCTGAATAATATAGCCCAAACTGAAGCATCACTGGAATGGGGATGATAGAACATGACAACTACTTTGGGATTGAAACACCTAAACCTGTAAGATTATAACATCACTGTACTGGACAGGTTGAAAAGGCAAAAGCTCACTGAAGAGGACAATGACCCAACTGGATTGAAGGTGAAAAACACACAAAGCAACATTTAAAAACAAAAAACAGAAACGCGTCAAAAGAGATCCGTACCATGTGGTCAAATCCTGCCTTTTTCAGAACTTGAGAGGGGGCTGGGCAAAAGCTAGGCTCCGCAGTTTTCAACGCAACGCGGAAGTAACATCGATGTTGTCTCGCGGGGTTTGTCAGTGCGTGAGCGCGTGTCGCTGGAACTGCACATGTCTCTTTGGAGCAGCAAATTTGGCAGAAAACCGCTCTGCCGAGCCGTGCCTAAACCGATGCCAGGGTGGCAAATAAAGCCAACAAATGGCCGTCGAATCGTCGGCATTTCACATATGGCAGAACTTTGGCAAGCCATAGAAACGTGAACGTGTCGTTCGTGCCCTGAAACTGCACGTAGGGCAGAGAGTCGCAGTGGCAAGTCGTGAGTAAAACAAATACCAAGGGCGCCGAATGCGACTGAAAAAGGGGCCGCGGAAACGTCGACGTATTCTTTGTGTCTGTCTGGACATGCGAATTGGGACCAAGTCGTGAACAAGACCGGCGCTAGTCGCAAAAACGTGCACATTCCCATCATGTGCTGCTGGGGTGTGCCCTAATTGTTATTTCAGATAGTCCCGGACTAGACCAATAGGAGCGCATCGAAAAAGAGGCTGCAGGAACGTCTACGTTTCTATAGGGTCTGCTAGTACCAAATGAACAGCACCAAACCCCTGAGGAACATGCTTTTACACACAGAGCAGGCAGCCGTGCAAAGCCGTGCTGCTGCACACTCCAAGAACCCCACAAATCGAAGAGACAATCTTCCAAAAGGCACACTGCACGCGCCCGCGGCAGGCAGTCCAGGGAGGAGTCGAGCCCGGGGAGCAGGCGGAGGGGGTCCATTAAACGAGCTGATGCTAGCTTTCGTGACAAGTCGCTCCAACCCCCCTATCCCGGACCTTGGTCGCTCCAATTTTGAAAGTTTTCCAAAGTCCATTCAGAAATCAGGGCTCCCTGTGTTTCCCCTTTGAACATCACCCCCAAGAAAAGGTGCCATATATGGGCCCAAACGGCGATGTTCAAATCAGCCCCGCAATGTTTCGGGAGTTCTCTTAAAGGGGGCAAACAGTCGCTCCAAGCTGCCAGAGCCGCGGCACGCCCGGCCCTCACCGCCGTCCACCGCCTCAAAGCTGCCGTCGCGCGAAGGCGGCGGCGGCGGCGCGTCGTCCGACACGAAGCGCCAGCAGGAGTATCCTCCGAGAGCTTCAATGTTCAATCCCAAACCGCAAGCCTAGGATGCAACATGCTCTGCAATCGCTTTAGTCGAGTTTAGTGAGGCGCAAGAATAAACAACATATCCTTCAAAAAGGGGTCAAACGGGGGGTGGGTCAACATTCATCCCCAAATCCATAGGATTTCACCCGGAGCGTCCAACTGTTGATGGCGAAAATCTGTTTCGCACCAATTGGGTTTCGATGATTCATCCCCATTGTAGGTCTTGATCCATCCTAGGTGCTGGATTTGTCCCACAACCGCAGCGCCCTTTGAGGATGCTTTGTTGAGGTTAAATTTGGCACCTCCTTCGAAGGTGCTTGGACCCGGGCTAAGGGTTCAGAAGCCGAACCAATCCATAGGTGTCCCGTTGGAAGCTGGATGGCAATAGTAAAACATCAGCACCAAACTGAAACTCGTGTGATATATGTTCAATCAGACTGACCAAAGAGGACACCAATGACCACTCTCTCCTTGTCAACCCACATGTCGCCTTTCAAACCTCACCAAAAGGTGACGTCTCTCTTTTCTACCAGTACGGAAATCTGGAGAGACTTTTCGTGCAACCCATGACCTGGCACAGGGCTACCCATTTGGTCCCTAAAGGGAATGACACAGAAGCCGAATCCAAATTCCGTCTCGTGGGACATGTTTTAGAGGCTCGGGAGCAACCCTGCACATGTCAGTGACTGTCATAGATTCCAGACTATTTGACACACACAGGGCTGCCTTTACTGAGGGTACCCTTCTTAGGGTTGTTGTACAGGGAAACCAAAGGGAAACCCAGCGGAAAGCATCCATTTTGTGGTTCCCCCCATTTTCGTAGGCGTGTTGGAGTCTCTGTTAGAGTGGGACTCATGGAACGACCCTTGGAACTCTTTGGGACGTCGCGAGTCGCCATCTCTCCTGAAGCCGCCTTGCTCGCCTGGATGCCCAGCGCCCGCGTCCAAAGCTCGCAGCGGCCCCCTGGCATTCGGCCACCGGAGGCCGTCGGCCGCGAGATGGCACCCGAAAGGTGTGGGTTGATGATTCTTGATGATGACTCAACTAAAATGGCTTGGAATTCCCAAAGGTCACACCAACGAAACTTCACCTTTTACGCCTTCGGAGTCCTTCGGAGCTAAGCCTTCAACGAGAGAGTCCATGTCTCCGGCGGTTCAAGCAACCCGCAAAAAAATGTGGTTTCGCTTGGTCTTTCTCTTTAAAGCAGCCCTAAATGGGAAATCCAAGAAGACACACCCGTGCCACCTTCGTGATGTTCCACACCGACGCAGTCGGCTCGCAGCTGGCATAATCTCTGGCAACCCGAGACTGCCATGCCTGGCAACACACGCAGCTTTGTTTGCCATGCATGCACAAATAGAGAGGGCTATGGGGACGGGGGCCCATCCTCTATTAGACCCTAAATAAGGCCTGACTGGGGGCTGATCCTCGGCTTGACCAAGGGTTAGGAGTCGAGCAAACTGGTTCCCAATGTTTCTCCAATAGCTTTGACTTTGGTCCCTGGCTGTGGCCCGCAATAGTGGATTCTCAATATTTCTCCAAGCAGCCTAACAAAAACTCACTTCAAATTGGCCCACAAAGTGCCTAAAACCAAGGGCAAATGTAGGACTCCTGGCTAAGAGCTGCAAGAGCTAACCCCATGTCGGCATGTCAAGGACAGTTAGTTGACATGGGAAAACCAGCGCGTTGGTCATAAACCAACCGCTTGTCTTATTGGCTGAAGCTTTCAACTGTCCGTCTGGTCGACCTGCTTGGCGAGTCATGTCTGAGGCAGGTATTCAGCTTCGGCTCAAGACGCGGACGGGGCCACAAGTGCAAGGGCACGCTTCCATCTGACCGTCTGCAGACTTATTTGGAGATCATCAAAAGCTTCCAAGCGATCCTATCGGAGTTTGTTCTGTCTGTTGTTCACCAAGTTTACCACCCATGGCGCGCCCATGCAAAGTAAACCCGAGACACATGACCGTCAACCAAGAAAACAAACAACAACGAGATCGAGTCGAGTCGGCGCCGTCCGGCTTTAAAGCCACTGACAATTTGGATTTCAACACGCCAAGTAAACCAAATGGGTGTGTTTTCGAGTGAGGGTTTCCCCATAAACAACAAAAAAGAAAAACAGCAAGCAACAGAGGGTGCAAAAAATCGCCAACAAAAAGGATTTTTAAAGGGTGAAATCCAATGAAAAAGTGGGCATGCCCAAAAAGTGCTGGTTTCCCTTTCAAGCAAGGCGAACAAGGTACCCTCCGAAAAACTTAAGCGAGTAGCGCTCAAAACCAAATGAATTTTGGTGCTACCAAACTAGCCATGGCCTACTTTTACGTAGAACCGCCTATGGCCCTCAAGCGGGCTCTTCGGCTCGCCTTGGGCCACTTCGAAGTAGCTCTCCGAATTGTCGCTGGCCGATGCCCCGCGGCAGACCCGGTTTTCGCCGCCGTCCACTGCCTGAAAGGTGCCCTGCCGCAGAGAAGTGGGGTCCACGTAGCGCAAACACGTGTAGCCACCTTGGTGAAGCGATTGGGGCACCCTCCCAAACGGACATGGAATCTGAAAGAGGGTCTCTGCTAGAGAAAACCCATGGTGAAACCCACACGTTAGGTGGGTTAAGGGGTCCGGTCAAGCTGGATTCCTTAAAAAGCGGGGGACTGCAATTTTGCTCGTCCGAAATCCATCGTGGGACACTGAGACAACAATTTGACTTTCACAAGTTGGAACAAGCCAGTCAGAATATCTAGTGAGCAAAGTCAATTTGCTAAAGGATGAGAACAAATGGAACGAGCTGCCAAGTTTCAAACACAAATCTCTACGGGACGAAACTCTTATTTACCCATCCATAGAGGGAATGAAAAAAACATGGCACATGGCACATCGGCACACCTGTGTGTGTGTGTGTGTGCGTGCGTGCGTGTGTGTGTGTGTGTGTGTGTGTGTGTGTGTGTGTGTGTGTGTGTGTGTGTGTGTGTGTGTGTGTGTGTGTGTGTGTGTGTGTGTGTGTGTGTGTGTGTGCGAGATGCTCCAAGTGAGTGGGCGCGCGAGCGCGCGTGCATCGCGTGTGCGTGTGCGTGTCGGAGCGCGTGCGCGTGCGTGTGCGCACCTGCGCGTTGGTGCGGGTGCGGGTGCGGGTGCGGGTGCGGGTGCGGGTGCGGGTGCGGGTGCGGGTGCGGGTGCGGGTGCGGGTGCGGGTGCGGGTGCGGGTGCGGGTGCGGGTGCGGGTGCGGGTGCGGGTGCGGTGCAGGTGCGTTTCAAAGAGGAAGGAAGCACGTAACAGGGAACAGGGGTCAGTTTTCGTTGGGCTCACCTTTACAACAATCACAACATATCACAATTAAAGGACCGGACAACCCCACATGCCTAGCTTTTTGCAAAGCGAGTAAAATTTGACTGTAAGAGTATATACGTATGTGTGAGCTGAGTGAGCGGGAGTAAAAACGGTTGAACGTCAGTGAGTGTAATTTGGATGTGTGAATGAAAGTACACGTTTCCAGAGTGTAAGTTGCGTGAGAAAGAGTGGGTATGTGCAAGTTAGGGAGTGTGAGTTGAGTGCGCGAGAGCAAGTACGTTTGCCACGTGAAGCAACAAAGGCGTGCGCCGCGCCTGCCACGCGAACAGCCCACCGCCTGAAGCAAACAGTCTAAACACTGCGCCTGCCACAAAGAATCAGTCTGCCACAAAGTACTGCGCCAGCCACGCAATCGAGCACCAGCATGCACCAAGTACCACGCCTGCTATACAATCAAGCATCAGATGCTTAGCTTTTTCTAAAGTCTGCGTAAGTTGAGTGAGTGAGAGAACGTATGTGTAGGTTGCGTGAGCGGAGAGGCGGCGGCGGAGGAGAAGAGAGCGGCGTGGATGAGGAAATTAAAAGTAAGAACCAAGAACCCCACACAGACACAAAGAAGTGGGGAAAAAGGCACAGAACATCAAACAACGAAGCGTCCATTGTTCTTCCAACCCACCAAGAGGGTGTGATGGAACGCCCTCAGTTTTGACAAGTTGGGATGAGGATCTGTCTCAAAATAGAGAACTTGCTATCTGGATTCAGCCGAACCAGAAGGACACCTGGAGGGCTTGCATCCCAAGTTTTGACTGTGGCTCAACCCCCCAAACGAGAGTGTTCCTTTGTCTTCCTTTGAAACCACCTGACAAAAGGGCGTCCTCGAAAAGCAGGAGCTATACCCATCGATGGTGGATTGTTCGAAAATACGGGGGCCTTTTCATGGCTTTGGTTGCCCTTCAAAACCAACCAACAGAGGGTCCCCCAAAACGAGAGACCTCCAGTCAAGTAGGGGGAACCCCCATGTATAAACCTGTTCAAAGGGGACCACAGGCTCTTTGGTTGCCCAATTCTTGGGAGCTTCAGTGGTTTCCCTTTAAGCCACAACCTCCCTCAAATAATTTTGCCGATTACCAGACTGGTAAGGTGGGCATTTGAAGCCCTGGTTTTAGAGGGTAAATGAACAAAAAACACCCTCCAAACTCTCCAAACCCTCCCTCCAACCCTCCAACCCGCGGACCCAAACCAAGCAGAAAACCATGACAAACCACTCCTTTGCGAGCGAGGCGCTGAGTGGGTGTGTGGCCAGGATGCTTCTGGTCCACAGCTCGCAGCGGGTGCCCTTGAATTCGAGGCCCGCGCAGCCGCTGAGGCCGGCGCACTGGTCCTTGCCTGAGAGAGTGCACGCCATCAAAAGAATTGGGTGTGGGTTAGAGGTGCCTTTAATGGGGACTTGGAGACCAAAGCGAGTCATGGGAGTTAGGAACGGATCCCAAAGTGAGTCATAGGAGTTAGGAACGTGCTTGTTTTGAGGGTAGGTCCCCACGAACATTTGCCTTTAGCGAGCGACGCCCATTTCTTTGTGGTACTTTGGTGAATGGCCTGAACGCCCCTCTGCATCAAATTCTGGGAGAAAAGTGACTGTTTGCTACACCTTGGTTCGGCGTTCTGCGTTCCAGGCGGCATGCAGCCAAAGATGGGGCGGACACCACTGTGTAGTAGCTGGCCGAGTTGTCCGAGCTGCTGCTGCCGCGGCAGGCTCTGTCAGAGCCACCATCCACTGGCTCAAAGACCCGACTATACCCCATGGGTGTAGTTGTGGTGGTGGTGGTGGTGGTGGTGGTGGCGGCGGTGGTGGTGCTAGTGGTGGTGGTGGTGGTGGTAGACAGTAGCCCAGCCCCTTGGGCAGCTCGCACCAGGTCTCCATTCAGGGTGATGGTGCTGATGGCCACCCAGCTACCCGAGTAGTAGTCGTTGATGGCCTGGCAAATGCGGCACTTGCCTCTCAATCTGCAAACAATATTCCGGTAACATGGATCCCCCGTAACAGAGAAGCCCTTTTGCAGGACCGCCATTTTGGGCTCTATCTAGGAAACGATGGGAATGGCAGCTCTCTTTATTGGAATGGCCATCACGGCACTGCAAATGCCCGCCCAGCCTTGGAGGCAACCCGCGTGCCAGCTGCATCAATCAGCTCTTGCTGCCTGCCGGCATCCACAGAGTTGGCTGGGCAAACCAAGCTAGTGAAGGTAGGCCCTGCCATGAACATGTTCTGAGACCAGGAACTGTGCACGCTGTTCACCAGGCAGCTTCCGTCGATGGTGAGCGACTCAGCCCAGTTGCCGCCAGATTCCCGCGTTTCCAAGTGAGATGCCAATGGGTCCAAGAATCCAACGGCGTCACCTGCCTCATTGGGGAATAGCAAATAGTCCAGCGCAACTCGCCAAATTGCGCGACTCGCCTCCGCGCCGTACTCTGGACCAGGTGTGCCGCTGCCCGAGAAACCCGTCTCCGCCCTGAGTGCTGACCCCTCTTCGAAGACTTTGGCCCAGTTCGGGACCAGTCCGTTGGAGTCGCACTGCGTGGCTTCGAACATCTTGTACGTGGTTGCGATCAGCTTGTTCCACTCTGCTTCATAGCCATCGCCCTCTTGCGCGGAGCCTCCGAACATTGAATCGTGAGTCTTCATGTAGTTGCGGCACATCCTGTAGACTGCAGGCGCATGGTAGCTCGGGTTTTGACCATTGCTGCCCCAGCCTCCCCAGCAAGCACCTAGCTTCACAATTCTGTGGTTGCCAGAACTGGATGGCACAGTCGAACTCATGTGGAATTGCTTGCACGTGTCATAGGCCCACTGACCAACCTGTCAGCAAACGCCCAAACAGGCCCAAACAGGCCCAAACAGGCCCAAACAGGCCCAAACAGGCCCAAACAGGCCCAAACAGGCCCAAACAGGCCCAAACAAAACAGGCTCAAACTACATCTGCATAATCTAGATTGCGTGGTCCAATTACTCATATCTCCCCCCCAAAGGAGCCGACAAGCAAAAGATTCGCATCTCTTTCAATGCCACGCCTCTTCCAGCCAGGACGGTGGTGAGCTGGTGCGTTCCAGCGCGAGCACGGCAAGCAACATTCCAGCCAAAGCATCTGCATCTCCATCTGGAGCAGAGCCACTGCCAATGGCATACGCGAGGCTGTCGTCGAACTTCCAGTGGGCCAAACAAGGATACTGTCCTCCTCCACACTGAAAGCCTTCGTCATCCTGACAGCTGCCGCTTCCCGCAGACAGTTCGCACATCCGGCGCCAGCCCAAGAACATCTGGTGTGTGTAATCCATGATGCGCTGGCGGTCTTGATCGCCATCATCAAGAGACGCCAAAAGCGCACCCGACAGCAGCAGGCCATATCCCTGACTCTCGCTCACGACTCCACCGGCGGCCCCACCTGACGAATGCACCGCCCTTGCAGCCGAGCCAGCGACGGGCTGGTCGGTCAGCGCATCGATGAACTCAAAGAGCCTGGCTTTGCCTGAGCCCGCTGACCCCGTCACAAAGACATCTCCGTTCACCGGCGTGGGCGTGGGCGACGGAGGCGAGGGGGTCGGCGTGGGGGTTGGCGTGGGGCTCGGCGTGGGCGTTGAGCCGATGAGAGTGCAGGTCCAAGGAGTCTGATACTCGGGGTCATCCAGCGGGCTCGTCTCCCCAGGCTGGCAGCTCTCACGGCAGCCGGCCCAGAACTCGTTCTTCTCGAAGCATCGGAACCCCGAATCCTGGCAACAACCAGTCGTTCGACAGTCCTCTGAGGCCAATGAGCACTGGCCACCTGTGGTCGTGGGGCTGGCTGTCGTAGCTATGGTCGTTGTGGGCGTTGTGGCCGGCGTGGCCGTGGTGGCCGTCGTGGCTGTTGCTGTTGTGCTGGCTGTGCCGGTGGCTGTTGCCGTGTTAGACGAAAGCAGACCAGCGCCCTGCGCAGCTCGCACCAGATCCCCGTTCAAGGTGATGGTGCTAATAGCGACCCAGCTTCCTGAGTAGTAGTCATCGATCGCCTGCCAGATACCAAGCTTCAGATGGACAACACGCAGCTACAAAAGTAACATGTGGACAAGAAACACGTGCCCTGCTTTAACACACGCACGCCAAAATGAGCCGAATATTGATCACCTGCCAATTTGCTCCGAACTATCTATTTCGTCCTAATCATGTCTAGGAAATCATGGACAAGGCAGGCCTGTTGGACCAAATTTCCAGTTGAGTTTCTATGGTTTCTCCCACAGAGCTTCATCCATCCCAGGTGGTCCAGGAATTTGTGCATCAACAGTATCTCAGCTACTCGGAATTGGACTGGCCATCACGGCACTGCAAATGCCCGGCCTTGGAGGCAACCCGCGTGCCAGCTGCATCAATCAGCTCTTGCTGCCTGCCGGCATCCACAGAGTTGGCCGGGCAAACCAAGCAAGTGAAGGTAGGCCCTGCCATGAACATGTTCTGGGACCAGGAACTGTGCACGCTGTTCACCAGGCAGCTTCCGTCGATGGTGAGCGACTCAGCCCAGTTGCCGCCAGATTCCCGCGTTTCCAAGTGAGATGCCAATGGGTCCAAGAATCCAACGGCGTCACCTGCCTCATTGGGGAATAGCAAATAGTCCAGCGCAACTCGCCAAGTTGCGCGACTCGCCTCCGCGCCGTACTCTGGACCAGGTGTGCCGCTGCCCGAGAAACCCGTCTCCGCCCTGAGTGCTGACCCCTCTTCGAAGACTTTGGCCCAGTTCGGGACCAGTCCGTTGGAGTCGCACTGTGTGGCTTCGAACATCTTGTACGTGGTTGCGATCAGCTTGTTCCACTCTGCTTCATAGCCATCGCCCTCTTGCGCGGAGCCTCCGAACATTGAATCGTGAGTCTTCATGTAGTTGCGGCACATCCTGTAGACTGCAGGCGCATGGTAGCTCGGGTTTTGACCATTGCTGCCCCAGCCTCCCCAGCAAGCACCCAGCTTCACAATTCTGTGGTTGCCAGAACTGGATGGCACAGTCGAACTCATGTGGAATTGCTTGCACGTGTCATAGGCCCACTGACCAACCTGTCAGCAAACGCCCAAACAGGCCCAAACAGGCCCAAACAGGCCCAAACAGGCCCAAACAGGCCCAAACAGGCCCAAACAGGCCCAAACAGGCCCAAACAGGCCCAAACAGGCCCAAACAGGCCCAAACAAAACAGGCTCAAACTACATCTGCATAATCTAGATTGCGTGGTCCAATTGCTCATATCTCCCCCCCAAAGGAGCCGACAAGCAAAAGATTCGCATCTCGTCCAATGCCGCGCCTCTTCCAGCCAGGACGGTGGTGAGCTGGCGCGTTCCAGCGCGAGCACGGCAAGCAACATTCCAGCCAAAGCATCTGCATCTCCATCTGGAGCAGAGCCACTGCCAATGGCATACGCGAGGCTGTCGTCGAACTTCCAGTGGGCCAAACAAGGATACTGTCCTCCTCCACACTGAAAGCCTTCGTCATCCTGACAGCTGCCGCTTCCCGCAGACAGTTCGCACATCCGGCGCCAGCCCAAGAACATCTGGTGTGTGTAGTCCATGATGCGCTGGCGGTCTTGATCGCCTTCATCAAGGGACGCCAAAAGTGCACCCGACAGCAGCAGGCCATATCCCTGACTCTCGCTCACGACTCCACCGGCAGCCCCACCTGACGAATGCACCGCCCTTGCAGCCGAGCCAGCGACGGGCTGGTCGGTCAGCGCATCGATGAACTCAAAGAGCCTGGCTTTGCCTGAGCCCGCTGACCCCGTCACAAAGACATCTCCGTTCACCGGCGTGGGCGTGGGCGACGGAGGCGAGGGGGTCGGCGTGGGGGTTGGCGTGGGGCTCGGCGTGGGCGTTGAGCCGATGAGAGTGCAGGTCCAAGGAGTCTGATACTCGGGGTCATCCAGCGGGCTCGTCTCCCCAGGCTGGCAGCTCTCACGGCAGCCGGCCCAGAACTCGTTCTTCTCGAAGCATCGGAACTCCGAATCCTGGCAACAACCTTGCAGCATTTGCACAGAAGCCGCTGGATTCTCGGGGAGAACTGCACACCCACTTGGAGACTGGCCAAACTTAGGGGAACTTCTCTGGACATTGTGACTAAAGCCCAGCCAGAAAGGCCCAACCGAAAAGCACTATTTGCCCAGCCTGTGGCCCTGCAATCTTCCGAGGAAGTCCTGGGTTTGTCTTTGACCCCCTCCAAGGATAAGTTTTTTGACAGTAATTGAGTAGGGAAATAAAAGGTCGAAGAGCAACCAAGAGTCGAGCATTCAGCTTGGACTTGCAGGTTCAGCTTCAAGTGCTGACGCCCCTGCAAGAGGAGGGGGCCGGTGGTGTTCATCAGGCAGGAACCATCCTTGCAGTCCTGAGATCTCAGGCTGAGAGGTGACCCTCATCCTAATGAGGTCCCGGAACCCCAAGACGGTCCCCACCACACGTCCAACAAATGCTTTTTCCCATGGCCAAACCCCCAAGTGCTTTCGAAGAGTTCCTTGGCAGCCCCACCACAAGGGGCAGGATTGAGAAACACCTGCTATTTTGCACTTAGCCATGGTGAGGAAAAAATGAAAGTGCCCCTCGCATGGCTCCAAGGAGTGAGGTTCAAGAGACCCTTTGCACATCACTCACCCAGACCTCTAGTGGCTAGGGCAGACTCAGGCACCTTATATCAGTGAGTTTAAGGGGCAACCCACCACAAAAGATCAAACACGGGGCACCACTAAAGGTCGAATTGAGGCAACATGTGCTTGACAGGTCCGAATGGCGAGCAATCGTCACGCTGTTGATTGCTTGCCACAAATCTTGAAATGGCTGCACAGTCTTTGACAGCGGTCATTTACTCGTTTGACCCGAAAAACCAAGAGACTCACTTTGTCCAACCGCACATGTTGCCCGTTGGCCACGACCTATTAACAGCGAACCTCTCAAAACTGCGCGGGCAAAAAGCGCAATGCAAGGCTCTGGCTTTGCGGATGCGACGAAGGCATTTGCCGTCAGGAGCAAAAGCCTGAGCAGGGTCCGAATCTACAATGATTCGGAGCGTTGGATGCAAGTCTCGCCGTGTGTTTTTTGGGCTTACCCACAGATCCGGGCAAATTACTATGTTTACGAGCTTGGAAAGTAAAGCAGAACCCCAAGCAAAAACCCATCACAATCGCACGTTGTACCCGTGAGTGAGCCGGAGATGTTTTTGGTTCTCGTGTGGTGTGTGGCAAACGACATGCACCGACACAGGGTATTTGATTGAAGCTCGTTTGAGGCATGACCAATTGCGCCACCAACTGCCATGGGGCACGTGGCGAGTGACCCATGTGGTACTTCCTACTTGGTCTGGTAGGTGATGTCAACCCCCCGCAAAGATGAGGGCACGCCTTTGGACAATCCCGAGGTGTTTTGTTGATTGTCCATAAGGGGACAATCCTACAATCCCAAACTGAAAATCACGGAACTCGCACAATATCCACCTGAACATTGTCCCCAAGTTGGTTTCATGAAAAAGGTATGACCAAAGTTTGCATGCAAAGTTCATCTTTAAAGGAACCACAGACCCATGTTGACACCCGTCGCACATGGTGTTAAGCACCCGACAGAGCAAAGCGTCCAGGTATCATGGCGATCGATCCGGCGCTGGCAGTGGTTGCATTGACTTTTGAGCCAAAGAGGAGCCGCCGGTGATGTGCCGACTGAGGCCGGTGAAGCAAGGCCATGGGTTTGCTTCCCACCCCTCCCCCGCCCACCCGATACTCCACGCCGGACCTGTTGTTGGGGCCTGTTGGGGGCTTGGAAAACAACAGGTCTCAAACTTGCTTGGACTGACATGAACTCTGGCAAGACCGGGTTGGTATATGTCTCCAAATTGTCTTGTCTGCCTGTGTTGTGTAAGAGAAATGTGAGCAGAGAACCATTTGCAGGGTTTCTTTCTCCACTTGCAGGTTGCTTGCAAAGAGTTGGCCCCATCTTCTCCCCCCTTCCCGGTACGCGCAAGTACGCTTGTCTCAAATGGGGAAACCCCACAATTGCTGAGATTCCTTTGGCTTCCCTTTGAAGCGACCCAAAAGGGTCCTGAGGTGATGAAACGAGGCAAACGTTCTGCCGGGCCGCTGAGTCGGCGAGTATGTGGCCTTTCGCTTCTTTGTCTGACGGCCTGCGGGCACCCGCTGCCGAAAAACGCAGAAATAAAAACCAAACAGACGCGGTGCACTTCTAATACCGTTGTTTGCAACCATCGTTCCTTTCACAAATCAACCGTTCCCCTGTTTTGGTGATTTTCTGGACAGCATCCCTGGACAAAGGGGGCGGCTAGGCCTTGGAATGGGATGCAATGAGAAAACATCTGTATATATATATATATACACATACACGTGTGTGTGCATATTTTAATGTATAATGGCATAATATATGCCTATACATAGGCACATGTTTGGGCACCTTAGCCTGCGCAGTCCCCGTCACATTTATCCTGCGGGCTTTCACTGTTGTAGCCTTGGTCCATGTCAGTCAAAACTCTCACCAGCCGGAGCCTCTGTTTTTGCTTGTTCACGTCCCCTTGTTGGGAGATGCCCACCTAATCTCAGAGCACGCTTCTTGGTCTTGCGAGGCAAGTGCCTCGCTCACATGCAATGGGCCCCAGACCACGAAGACATTTCAAAAGGCTGCTGTGATAACTGTAACTGACTTTGCAGATCTGACTTACTACGTTTCAAATGCCGCCGCATTGCTCTTAAGAAGTTTCCAAGATTCGTCCGCATTCATGGCAGGTGGCCACTTCTCTTTGTTTAAAAGCGAGCACAAATGCCAGCCGGTTTCTTTCTCTGGCGGTCTGTCCAGTGCAGATCTTGTTCAATTTGGTGAAGTTCTTGTTCGGTCCATTCAATTCATGCTCTGCACCACCGTGTTGTGGGAAGTAACCTGTCTACGTGCCTTTGGCGCTGGCACACCCAAAGACACTCCGCGGCCTGTATTCTGAGTTCCACTCAAGTTTCAGCTGTCTTTTTCATCCCGGCCCAATAGGTCAACCCACCTCTGGCAAGCTCCGGTTGATGTTCGTTCTGGCGATTTTCTGACCCAGGCGCGCTTGTGTTTCTAGCTCTCGCATCCCCGAGGCTGCGCCGCGCCTTATTCCCATGCTCTCTTGCCGTTTGCGGGCAGGTTCTCTTGGGCGTCTTCCCTCTGGCCTGTCCAACCTGTTTCAACTACTTTCCGAACCAAGTTTGGTGCTTACACGCCAGTTCCACGCCGGCTTCGTGCTGCGGTCCTACGCTGCCATTGTATGGCAACTGCCCACCCCACCTTGCAGAACATTCTAAGCACCTGATTCCCGCAATCACCCGCAACTTCCCGCCCTGCAAAACATTCCAGCACACCTCATTTCCCCCTGGCAAAGCAATCACCGAGTGGCACCTATCTATCTGCTATCTGTCTATCCGTCTATCCGTCTATCCATCCATATATGCATATATAGATATATACATATTAGGCGAGTGCGGACTTCTGTCTGTACCGCAAGCGGAAAAGCATTACTAGAACACTGGTCATGCTGGGCATGCCGACTACTTTAGTCAATGGACAAGCGCGACATCTGCTTTCAGTAAGCGGGAATTTGTTTTCTTTATTCAAACACTGGTGTCGCTGGGGGTGTCAACCACTTTGATATACGGACCACAGCGACATCTACATTTAGTAAGCGCAAAACACGTTTTCTTTGCACAAGCACTGGAGATGTTTGGGGTGTCGACCTCTCTAGTCAACCACAGTGGCCCGAGTCACGTCGGCCTCGAAATGCACAACTTTGCAATTCGTAGTGTAAAGAACTTTGATGTCATCGAATGATTTTGAAAACTCGGGCTTGGAAACCGCGACATCTACGGTTGCAACGAAACACCATTAACCTACACCCGATTGTGCCTCCCACACCTTGCCGCACGTGCGCGCGCGCCTTTGCATCGTCTCAAGTTTCAAAAGTTGTTCAGGAGCTTTATCAAACTTTATCTTGTTGGGGAAAATGCTGCAGGGCAGGCGGTGCTGGGGCAGGTTCACCCTCGTATGTATGTATATATTATGTATATGTGTATATATGTATAATATACCACAAGTACGCATACAAACACATCTGCTGTAATTATTCATCGGATGCTGCAGTTTCCTGCCTTCATTCGCCGGGGCCGAGTTGGTCGTGGCATTGGCTGCCAAGGATGCCGCACATGCCTGGCGGATGCCAAACACCTTGAAGGTTTGAGTGGGTCTCACAGTGATCTCGGGAACTTTATTGGGTGGGAGGATGCACTGGGAGCCTGGCAAAATGATCAAGAAGGCCTCAAGTGTTTGACATGGATGCCGGTTGGGATTTTGTTGCAAGCCCCGAACGAAAGGACAATTTAAATGAGGTGTCCTTTCATTAGTTGAGTAACCCCCACCCACCCTATTCCCATGCCATGGACCAAAGATCGGGATGCCGAGTCAGTGAGTTCACCAGACTTCCACAATGCAAAAACGCTTTGGTTCTACTAGTAGACATGGTTATCAGGGTTATACAGGCCTTACCATCATGCGTAAGCCAGGTCGAAGCACCTGCGTACTGAAAAATGGAAATGGCTCCGAGAGGGGGGGGTTGGGAGATAACTTACTTAGTTTCCCTGGCTTTCCAAACAGCCAAGCTTCCTAGAGTTGTCCAAGACTCATGTTACTTTTCAGTGGCATCCTTTGTGGTTTCCATCAAAGCAACCTGAAAGGGGGGCAACAAGTTAGCCCTCAAAACCCTCAACCCCCTCGGTGCACCCTCCGGAAAACCACACGCCCCCAAAAAACGAGGGAGGGGGGGGAAGGGGTCAAAACGGCAAACCTGCGCTCCTCCACAAGCTCCTGCTGAGCTGGGGTCAGTCTCAACCTCGGCCGCTATGTCGTGCCGGATAGGGCACCCCATTTCGCCTCTTCCAACTACTTAAAGTTCGCAGTGAAGCCAAGGGGGTTGTGTCAAACTCAAGCCAGTGTATTTGGATGGGAAAATCGTCGCCTGTTTCACCGTCCGGATCATTAGGTGCCGGGCTCGTCCTCCTCCAAGGCAGCCACGCGCCAGGAGTTGTAGAGCTCCCTGGCGACTCGAGACTCGACTTCGGCTTCTCGTCACTCGGGTTGCACTCAGCCGCAGCTCGGTTCAGGTGTAACCTTTTTGCTCAATCGAATGGGTTCCCATTCAGAACCCAGTGACAATCCACCGGAGATCTCGGCCCCACGAATCCACTTATGCGGGCCCGATCTCGCGCGGTAGCCTCAAGCCCATGTGTTCCCGGGAGTCTTCCAGAGCCTGAGAAATCCGAAGCGAAGGCCGGAACTGAAAAAAGGACGGTACATTTGGATGGGAGTGTTGGATAGATGTCTGTGTGTCCCTTTGGATGCAGAGGAGAGTTTTAAAAATAAGTGAGGAATTAAAAGAAGCTGGGTCCATAAAAACTGAAAGAGACACCAACCAACTGTACTAGCCGGATGGAAGGGAATAGCCGCACACGTTGACCCATTATATACACACACAGTACACAGACACCAAGAGAGATTTACAGGCGCACAAACACACAAACGCCCTTTGTATG